CACACACACACACAGACAACCCCTCGACAATATGCGTTTTTGCATTGCATAGCTGCAAAAAACGCAACGCATTGCATAGCTGCAAAAAACGCATAATAAACACTTTCTGTCTAGCGGTCTTTCGTCAAAAAATCCAGATGTGCAAATGAACTGAGTCCTGGAAGAGGATGATGGCGGTCGCTCGCTGCAAAATGCATTTGTTTCTAAGTTTGTGGTAAAGTTGAGTATTTCCCATAATTACCTGCAGGAAATTCCATCTTCAAGCAAAATTAAGATCACGCATGAAAGTAGAATATTCCAGCAAAGTTTTAGCCTCGCACTTTGTCCGATAAACGAAATAGCCGCTTCGCTGCGATTTCCCATATGGACGATAAATATATGCTGACAAAACTTCAACCACTTCCTTCCGGCTAGTTTCTGAGTTAGTACAATGCCAAGTGCAAACTTTGACGTAATCGTATGCGCTGCACAGGCATGCGCGACAGCTAAATTTGAAATTTTTAGCTTGCACACGCACAGACAATACCCCTGCAAAGTCTTAGCTTTTTGCCTTGTCTGGTTCGCAAAATCGTTTCCCGCCAAAGACATCTACATATTTCTTTTGGGAGTCGGTACGCAAGGTCTAGGCGCATGTCAGCGAAGATTTTAAAACGGGATGATGACACGCAGGGAAGATTTTAAAACGGGATGATGACACAGGGAATACGTACCCAAAATTTCAGCCTCCCAGCTTTACTCGCTGCTGAGTTGAAAGTGGGTGACAAGGTTCACTCGCTTCCGAGCACAAACACACACACGACCTCTCGATAATATGCATTTTTGCTCGCTGTAGCAGCGGTATAGAGCTGCACAGCAAAAGCGCATAAAAATGAATAATTTCCGGTGACCGGTTCAACAGTTCATTAAAAATGACTAGCAGCTATGACCCTGTGTTTACTTGGTTTTTATATTAGCAACTTTTCGCCAAAACTACCACTCGCTCGTGTACGAGGACCAAACATGTTTAGCAACTGAATTTGTGAACTTTAAATTGTAGTGGAAAGGGAAATCTTCTTAAAATTTTAGCTTTTCAGCTTTTCTGGTTTCGAATTAGCAATTCTTACGCGGAACATTTACTTGCTCCTGTGCTGGGCTCAAACGTGCGTGAAAATTAGCACCGCGTTTCTGGGATTGAAAAGTTTGACCAAGGAACAACAAAAAAATTTCAGCATTAAAGCTTTCCGGCTGCACTTGAAATACCTGGACAAATAGACATACAGGCACTCATATCCACAGACATACACACACCTGTTGCAAAAGGAAGGTGCTAACGGCAAGGAAACGAAGCTGCCGGTTAAACCCCTTCGCCTTGCTCAGTTGCTCGTCGATTCCATGTGATATGCAAACGTCCTGTCTCCTGACTCAAGTTTCCTCTCCGTGACATTTAATGTGGTGATTAGAAATGAAATGTAGATTGTTTTGTTGAGTAGTTGTGCGGTAGCAGATTGGAGCTGCTGCGGTTCCCGCGCTCGATATTGTCCGGTGGCAGCATGGAGCTGCTGCCGAATATTTCGCGGTTTGTTTTTCTGACTTTTTTTTGGCTCTGTGCTTCTTTACTAATAAAGGATTGTTTATAAATTTGGGTGTGTGCCCTCCACATCTCCACACTTACGGCTGCGCAAGTTCTTCGCTCGTTGCACACTACGGGTCGCCACGAAGTGCATTTTAAGACGTTTTTTTTGCATCTGTACAGTGCAAACTTAGTCGAAAACGCACCGGCTGCCGGTGCGCAGACGCGTTTTCTGGACAGCTATTAAAACTCAGTTCGGCTCGGCACGGCTCGACTCGGCTCGTCCCGTACACGATCTGCAAAAAATTTTTTTTCTGGACGGCACGTACGGTTGCCTCACGGCGGATGGTGGCAGTTTGAATGTGGTGCCAGCGACGGGTGTCCTTGACCCAGTGTGGCATTGGGCTGGGTTTGCTGCAGACAAGGTGTAATGGGAGGAGGGGGTGGTGTGTGTGGGTTAGGGAAGCGGGGATTTGATGCACGGGTGAGAGGGGGGGAGGGGAGGGAGAGGATTGGGTGGATGGGCTGGCGAACAAGGTGGCGTGGGTGCTCTGGCGGCAGCCTGGGATATGTCGTGTAAATGAGAATATTATTCTATTCCCATTTTTATGCGTTTTCTCAGCTGCCCAGGTGTACCCGGGGCTTAGGTACGGGCACGTGAAAATTATGGCGGGAAAATTCATAACACGAGGGCGAGAAAAGCTAGAAAGTTGAAACTTTGGGGGAATATTTCCTACTCATGCACGGCCAAAAGTTTTCAAACTCAGCTCCTTAAGACTGCTTGGGGCTCACTTACGGGCGCGTGAAAATTTTTGGCGCGAAATTTACTAGCCCGAAAACGGGAAAAGCTGGAAAGCTGAAACTTTAAGGGAATGTTCCCCACTCATGTACGAGCAAAATCAGATGTTTGAAGCATTCGGGGCTCACGTACGGGCACGTGGGAATTTTGGCGCGAAAATCACTGACCCGGGAACGGGAAAAGCTAGAAAGCTGAAACTTTAAGAGAATGTTCCCTACTCATGTGCTGGCAAAGTCAGGTGTTTAGAAGCGCTCGAGCCCACATACGAGCGCGTCGAAATTTTGGCGCGAAAGTTACTAACCCGGGAAGGGGAAAAGCTAGAGAGCTGAAACTTCAAGGGAATGTCCCCTACTCATGTATGACCAAAAGATTTTAAATTTAGCCCCTTAAAACCGTTCAGTACTCACGTACGGTCACGTGAAAATTTTTATGGGAAAACTGCTAACTCAGAAACGGGAAAATATGAAGGCTTTAATTTTAAGGGAATGTTTCCTGCTCATTTGCAAATAAAAGATTTTAAACTTAACTCTTCTTGTGTGGCCTTTTTTCGCGAACCAGCAACTTTCCATTTGTCGGGTCACTGAATTCGACGCCTACAACTAACATACCACATAGTTACATAATTAACTTCCCGAACTTCGAGGGTCAGTATTTCACAGGGTTAGCTACTTTGACTCCTTGCGATCTTGCTACAGCACGAAAAGTGCAAAAACGCATAATCGCACCGGCCTGCCTGGTGCGTTTCAGCCTGGGTTTAGAACTTTCTTATGGCGCTGAGGAGACCATAGTTCGTAAGTAAAAAAAGTAGAAGAGAAGGATTTTTATGGCTTTTCAGGTCACGCATATGTGATGCGCTGAACTTCAGAACAAAAAAAGATGTCACTGTAGTCGCGCGCTCCTATTCTTATTACGGTGAAATCAAAAATATAACGTATCCGGGCAGGCGCATTTTACACCCGCCTGAGGTCATCTATACACCTCCTACCCTGGCTACGTCCACATTCTTCCGTATATAAGCGCAGTTTTTGGGCACAAAAGTCAGTCCCTCCGCTTCACTCGGATTACGTGGCCG